CCATCTGTCTATCACCGTCTATCATGAACTTCAACCACTGAGATCAATGAGCCATATAAAATAGTCAAACTCAGCATCTACACTAACCACTTTCGCATCTGCCTTTGTTGTTTAACGAACAGTGTCAAAGGACACACAGATCTGTAGCTCAAGATGGATTCTCACTAGTCCAGCAGTGAAACTTAATGCATCCTTTATAAAATGTTTTTTTACTTATTTAAAATATAAATTGGTGGGTGTTTCTGGCCTTTTTGTGTGTTTTACAGTAAAGAGATAGCAAGAAATGAGAGTAGAGAGAGATGGCAAATTAAATACAACAAAACCTTCTTGCCAGATGTGAACTAGGGAGTCATTAACTTTCTTTGTTAAATGAAAAATATGCAATATAGCAGTTTTACGATGAGGTAAGATTGCAGCTTTGGCTAAATACTGAAAAAAATAAACCCCTTACTCAGAGCATGAAATGGTGAAACACTTGGTTACAAATTAACTTACCGTAAATCAAAGGATTGTTGTTAAAACAGCATTCTTCATGGCTGTTGATACATTTGACTAATATAGATATAAATTTAACATGTTCCATTATCAGTTTAGATTACACAGAGTGTCTGATGTTTGTATTGTATTGTCTCTGACAGGGCTTTGGTTCCCACAGTTATTGATCTGCCAGCTTCAATTTTCATTGACGGCGATTTCCTCCCCTGCACGTGAGAAACTACATACACGCTCTCTCCATGCCCGTGCATTTCGTCAGACTGCTTTTTTTCTGACAGACAAACAAACCCCACCCATGTTCGAGCATGTCTAGCATGTCAAATGACAGCCGTGCTGAATTCTTACCCTATTTCAATCACGCGCTCACGAGTGCCTTCGTCCATTTTGACGGGTTCTAGTCTCGGCTGTTCACCTCAGTGTGGGGTTTAGTGAAGGGAAAAGCTTGAAACTTCAAACACTGCCAGTCTCTGACGCGGTGATAAACCCTGCCTGATGAAAGACTGGAGTTTCAGAGAAGAGGAGGTGATGAGCTTAACTTGGGGGATTTAGCAGCTCCGTCTCTCCCTTCCCGCGTTTTGTCGAACATCGTGTAGCCTTCATGCCTGATTGTTATTCTGAGTAACAGGAAAGTAATGACACTTGTCTTTGATCCCTGCAAAATGTTAACGGGGTCAATAAAGGTAACCTCATATGTAGCATTTGAAAGAGAAACCTCATTTAGGTGTGTTAAAACTGTAACTGGAGAAGCATATGGTTAATGAATTACTGTACATTTCACATAAGCTCATGAGAATTATAAAGTAAGTATCGTATCATTTTTAGAATAAAACTAACAAAATAACAACAATCAACAGCACAGTTTGAGAGGTATTGTGTCTCACATTGTGCAGTCCCTGTCCCAACTACATGTAAAATGTTTACTACCACCATCTACTGTTCACTTGGAGGAGTTGACTTTTCAAAGCAGAAAACCGTTCATTCATATGGCTCCATCAGAAAAGGGATGGAGCCATATGAATGGTGAGAAATACCTTGATTTGAATCAAAGGATGGGGCACAATTGTGATTATGATGAATCCAAGAGATATTGATTTCAGACAGCATAGTTTTGGAAAGATGTCAACACTGGCATTATCTGTGCCTGTGTGAAGCACTTACAGACACATTGCTTCCAAGGATACACCCCATCATTGATTTCAGCATTTACACCATTAATAAAGAATCAGAAGAATGTGTTTAATCCCTTTCATCCAGAAGACAGAGGTTACAATATAATTATTGGCTTTGTGCTTATGCCATACTAGCTACTGAGCTATCTGCAAAGAATGAAAGCCACTCTGTTATGAAGGAACTCGGAGTTCAGGCACATTCATTCAAAGCAAATGAAGGTCTCTGTCATCCATTGTGGCAGTACCTTAGACAAGCAAACACATACTTTTAAAACTTAAGGTGAATTCGGACACACGTTCAACTTATTTACTTAGGTGTCGTGGTTTTAGTATTAATGTAAAGGTGCTATTTGTTATCTTTTTAACATGAATTAATTATTTTGTAATTGTATGTTATGTATGTACTGTATGTTAAATTTAGAAAGCTGCTGGGTTGCACATAAGATTGCAAGTGCTATTCTTTAAGTGCAAACAGAAGTAGCAACATCTTTGGAGCAGAAGGTAACAGGATCTGTGAGAAATGTACACTTAACACTAGCGATAATAACTTTAACATATGGTCTCATATGATTACGTATTGTGTTGTGTATCTATTTATTTTTAAATAATGCTTTGAAACATGCTTTTATTATCTTAGAAAGTAACCCTGACAACTGCTAATTTCATTAATGGAAATTAAAGTGTAGCATTTAACATAATGTAAAAACTACTCCTCTGTGGATAACAAATGGCCCTAATTGACCTGAAGCAGTGCTGGACAGAAGAGAGCAGATAGATGCTAAATGCTGCTCACTAAATTCATTTTAGTGAGTCACCGCTGTTCAGAGCATCTCTTTATCACAGCCCCTGGTCCTCTGGGAGCCCTTTAACTCTGGCCTCATAAGAGCCCCACAGAGACCCCTCTGTCAGTCATCCGGACACCGACCTCTGATTG